CCTTCCCCTCCCTTCCTTCCTTCCTTCCCCTCCCTTCCTTCCTTCCTTCCCCTCCCTTCCTTCCTTCCTTTCCCTCCCTTCCTTTCTTTCTTTCAAGATGGTTTTAGAATGGTATGGGGATGTATTTTTTGGTAGAGTCTAGAAAACTGACAACTCAGGGAAAAGTCTGGGCATTTTTGTCATGGTATAATACATTTCCATTAATTGAATCTTTTTAGAGAGCTTGTTTCATTATAAAAATGAAATTGCCATGGGACTTCCCTGGTGGTGCAGTGGATAGGACTCCGTGCTCCCAATGCAGGGGGCCCAGGTTTGATCCCTGGTCAGGGAACTAGATCCCACATGCATGCCGCAACTAAGAGTTCGCATGCCACAACTAAGGAGCCCGCGTGCCGCAACGAAGGAGCCCACGTGCCGCAACCAAGACCGCACGCATGCAAATAACTATTTTAAAAAATGAAATTGCCATGATAGGCATGCTGATTTCAGTATTGTCTCTGCACATAGAGGTGCGTTCAGGGTGTGCTAGGAGCGCAGGGGAAGGGCTTCACGGGGAGACGAGGTCTAGCTGCATCTCCAAGGGTGAGCAGGAGTTCGCCACCCACCAGAGAGCAGGAGGAAGGGTTTGTAGTGAATATCCTACTGCAGTCTCAAGTACGAGGCCCAACCACCGCAGTTTTCAACCCCAGAGCTCGCTGATACCATTGGTATTGACAGTTGAGAGGGATCATAAGGGATCCATCGCAGCTCTACCCAAGGCCTCCCTCCCGCCCTCGCCACAGTCTGCTCTTGATCGCAGCCAGCTACCTTTCTGGACTCCGCATCTGTTCAGGTTGTGGGCTGCAGAAGCCATTTCAGGGCTCCGCTCACTCCGAGGGTGTCAGCAGAAATCCTTCCGTGGCTGCTGAGGCCCTGCCCCTCCAGTGCCGTCGTCACAGCTTGCTCCGCTCTCCGCGGCTCCAGGTGTTTGGCCCACCCTGGGCTCTCCCGGGACGTGCGGGGTGCCTTGGCAGAGCCTTCGCACCACTGGTCCCGCTTCCTGGTTCTGGCCCCTCCCCCTTCTCACAGGTTCCTCCTCCTGCTGCTGAGCTTTGTCGGTGGTCAGACCAAATCCCCCAGCAGTGGACTCAGCCTTTGGGGAGGCTGGTCCTAAGGACAGCGTGCGCCTGACACGGTGCTTTAGAACAGCCCATGCTGGAGACTGGTGCATAGTCTCGCGCTAACGCAGGTGAACACTGCCGGTGGTCCTCTGGCCTTGGAAGTTACCACTTTAACTGAGCGGCAGGTGAAGTAGCTCTCTGTGTTACAGGATCATGTTGGATGAAAATGTAATTCCCTTGATAGCTGGAATCACGCAGCTCCGTGAGATGCTCACACCTGGGGTCTGGTCTGACCTAGGGAGCCGCAGGGGCAGAATCCCTGCACTGTTTAAGCTGTTCTTTGGGTTTTGGTTGGGTGTTGTACTGTATAGCACGTACCTCTCATCTGTAAGACTTGCATCAGTTGTAACGCAAGAGGGTTTGTGCCCGGGTTGTCAGCTCCCCCAACTACTAGCCCCACCTGCCAGGGCCTGAGTGTGGCCTGCATCCTGAGTGCCTGGCCCGGGGAGGCACGCACTGAGGACTCCTGCAGAACTGCTTTCCCACCTGCTCCACGTGCTTCTGGGAGGCGCCGCAGGGTTCTGCAGATGTGTGATTGCAATTGCATTTAAAACATGTTCAAACTGTGGAAACTCTAATAGAACTCAGATGTGCTTTATCTATGTGTCAGTGGATTGAATACTAGTAGTTCTGTCAGATTAACTTGTTTTTGTGCAGGTCTCGAAATAAAGCAAGCAAGTGGAAGACTGCCATTGCTACCCCTTCTTTTCATTGTACGTACGAGAGTAACAGGAGAACCCTCTGAAGTAAATGCAAAGGCAGCCAAGACTGCCGCGCCTGTGGGTTAACTACTGCGCTTTGGAGTCGGTCGCATTCCGATCTCACTCCCCCCGTCCCCCCCCCCCCACTAGCTGTGTGAGCTCAAGCAAGGACCGTAACGTCTCTGAGTCAGTCTTCATCCATAGGGTAGGGATAATGAGAGGCTTGTGAGGAGTGAACACAGTGAAGCAGAGTCAGTGGCTTGCAGGGCTCAGTCACTGTTAGCGTGGTGATGGTGGTGATTTTATCCTTAACCCCCAAATATCAAGATTCTGAAGGGTAGCATTTTTTTCATCGATTGAATTTATAAGTTGAAGGCTGCTTTATGTAAGTCCCACAAAAATGCCCTTTGCTTTTAAAAAAGGGAGGGACAGGGGTTTGGAACTGTGGGTTTAGACCGAAAGAGGCTAGTACTTTAGCACAGCTCTGCCTACTCGGCACAGGAAACCTTCACCCTGAATTTGGTCTGTAGGACTGGGATCCTTTGGCTTCCTAATGTCTGCCTGCATTGCCCTCTCGTTTGTTCTGCCCATGACTCTTCTGAAATTTGACTGAAGAAATGGCCACAAAAGAAATCTACCTAGTTTCTGTAAAACTCCCAGTAAAGACTTCTTCATGTGTCCATTCCAGAGAAACTCCCTGCACTCCTATAATGAGCCTGGCACAGTGGTGAACCGCTTTCCCTGTTGTCCATGTCCAAGTGGATCTCCCCGACAGCCCTAGAGGTAGGTACTGCTGTCCCCAGAGTCCCCAGAGCTGCAGGATGTCAAATAGCTTGTCCACAAGTCTGTGCTCTTGGCCTTTGGCACAGGGAACCAGTTCTCCTTTCTGACGGTGGGCCTCCATTCGCTCACAAAGTTTCCTGTCTGCCTTGGCTGCCCAGAAAGAAGCTTCACGAAATTCTGCACTGCCTTTAGTCTTTGCCTGACGTTTCCTGTGTCACATTGGGTGCCTCTCCCTTGAGTGGTCCTTCTTTTTTCCTTCTTTGTGTTAGCTTTGTTCTGTGGAATATGGTTGTTCTGAACCACTCAAAATTTGGGCAGATTTTGAATAATTTATGTTTTACATTTCATCTTAACCAAATTTTACAGCTGTCTAAATGGGATACTTAGAAAGGTAGGATGGGTGGGGGCAGGTGAAAAACTTGTTGGAAAACAACAATGGTTAAGGTGTAGTATTTGATTCTAGGGCTATTTTTAGGCTGAGAAAGGTCATGGGCAGCTTTCAGGTGTAGTTTTCCTTTTAAATTAAGAATCTAGCTACTAATGGAAGTCAGACATTTCTTTTGCATTTTAATTCTTGTGTTTATTCTTAAAGTTATGAAAACAGATTGAAGGTACATGGCTGAGGTGTGCTTTATGATTTTTTCTTTGCAGATGACGTTTGAGCTGAACAATTAAGGTAAGATTATGGCTTATGTGACATGCTTTTCTTATGCACATTTCTTTGTAGGGTTTAGCTGATTGCTAAAGTCATGTTTTAGCTTGGGTGAAGAATATTGCCTTTGGGCAGTCCTTCTAAACTGGAGTATAAAAGGCCTTCATATTACATTTTAAGGTAAGTTTTGAAAAGAACGTATCAGGATACCTTTATTCATTCAGCTTATACTAAAGAAGTTTCAAAGCATTTTACTGTTTTCAGAGAAGAAAAAGGGAACATTTTTAATGTTCATAAACTCGTTATGTTAATGTAGAGATTACATGAAGCTAGCTTTTGTTAGATGTCAGTGGGAAATAAGATAGTTTGTATAATTATCTATATCACCATGCATGTTTATATTCAATGCTGCAGTTAGACTCGGAGAGCTGTTTGTGTCTGCATTAGTTGTTTGAGCAAATGCCAACGTACCCCCAAATAGGATATCTGGGAGGCCCCAAACTATAGATGAGAAATGTAAAAAATTGTACCCTATTTCCTGGTGTGTGGGTCTAGCATATCCCAAATTTGTTTGCTCAGAATAAGGGCACAAACTAGGAAATCCCACATTATTATGAAAAAAGAAAAGAACTATGAAAGTGTCCTGATAGAGTTAATGAATTACAAATCTCAAGGAATTTCTAAGACTTAATTTGGTAGATGTGTGTAACCACACATCTGGGTGGAGGTTGTCAGATTGCACAGTCTGGTTTATAATTTGATGTACAGATCCTAACAAGTTGATGCTGTACAATGAAACTTTGTGTCCAGTGAGGCAGTTAGAGACTTATTAAAATCCTGAGATAAATGATAGACTAGAATTCAGCACATCTGTTACACCCTTGTAACACAACGTGGAACGTCTGTGTTTATGTATCTTCAAAATCGTGGGAAAGGAACAGTCTTGGGATGGGGGGCTGCTGGGGGAGGTTCCCAGTGTGGGGGATGACTGTGCTGAGCGGTTCTGAGGGCCCCGCGGTTAGTTCGTGAAGAGGGGCTGGGTTCGCCAGCAGAGCGAGCAGCACGTGTGGGGACGAAGGCAAGGGCGAGCGTGAGGGCTGAGCCCGTGGATCTGAGTTTCACTTCCCTGTGACAGTGCGTTTCTGAATGGCTGATGCCAGGAATGGGGAGCAGGGTCAGGTGTCTTGCCTTAGAAGTTGGACTTAGAACTGAATCTCTGGAGAAGCACTGAAGAATGTTAAGGAGGGAGCATTAGATGCTTTCCTTATGTCAGAATAGTTGGTGTGCTGTTTTGGTTTTGCTACTCTTTTTTTCTAAGTTGAAGTAGTGTAATCAAGATTCCAAAGAATTAAACAGAGGAATCGATTTAGTGCACTGTTACTATGTCAGGAAATTAAAGGGCTTGAGATAGTTTGAGTTTCCTCCCTAACATTAATTTAGCCTGGGCATTGGGCAGAGCCATCCACTGAAGTCGAAAAGTCTCCAAGTAGTACACACTTTGCCTCACACTTTTGTTGGCCAATTTAAATTGTATTAATTATAGTAGTAATTACTGTAGTAATTTAAAAACACCAATAAGAGTTAGGGCCAAGTTGCCACATATTTATAAGAATAGTGTGTAGCATGTAGTAGGAAATGCAGAATTCTTGCACGTTATGGGAATTGTTCAGTTACATTATACTGGGTCATACTTGCATATAACCAGGCGATTGCCAGATAATGTTCGTTTACTGCAGTGATTTTGCAAATTCATCCTAGTCAATACAACAATTATTGTTCATGCCTTTATTATCTTCCCATTGAGGGATTCACAATATCTACTTTCATGTTAAAGTTAATTACCAATTTTGCTCTAGGGCTGTGCTGTCCAATACAGCTGTTGGCTCTTTAAATGTGACTATTCAAATTAGTGAAAATAATATAAAATATTATTTTATATAAATTCATTTATATATATGTATATAATTATATAAAATATAATTTTATATAAATTCATTTTCATTTTATATAAATTCATTTCCTAGCTCCCACTAGCCACTTGTGGGTAGTGGCTGACAGTCCAGATGGAGGACATCTCCATCGTTGCAGAAAATTCTGTTAGTGCTACTCTAAAGGTTGTCTTCCTTTACAAATATCTTAAAAGCCATTTAATACTGAAATATTTACAGTTTAAATGATATAATTTGATTCAAAATAATTGGGCAGAAGGGAGAATGGGACGCTATGGAGGAAACAAGATTTGCTGTAAGTTGATAATTGGTGAAGCTAGGTTTAGGGTCTGTGAGGTGTCATCATATTATTCTCATTATTCAGAAATTGTGTATGTTTGAAATTTTTCATAATAAAGAATTAAAACAGAAGCCTTAAATAGGAACAGTGCTCCCACCAGCCTACAAAAGGGTGTCTGAATCTCCGTACCCCCCCCCAGCCCCCCCGGGGGACTGGTGGTGGGGAGGGGGAGTTAGTCCTGCCCCAGGGCTTCCCCTAAAGGGTACGCATGGTACCACATTTTTGTTTAATGTTCATTTCATTCCCCCTCGAAACACACGAGTAACAGCCCAGGCTCACATTTGTTCAGAAGAGTTGGAGCTGCCCAAATGAATCTTGTGGGTAGAATGTGCTAGGTTATAATATTATATCAAAAATTCGAGTGGTGCTGACATTAATGTTAGCCAACTCAAAATAGTGTTCCTAATGAAAAGAATAGAGTCCTTTACTCGGTGGTTGGCTTCGGTCTGTTCACAGCCAGATCAGTCAGTTCTGTCTCTGGTTTCCTGCTTACCAGCTCCTATGGTGATGGCGCTGGGAGAGAGAAAGAGGGGGTTGTCTAGAAACCCGCTGGCCTGAGAGGAAAGCCATCAGTGAACACTGTCACCGTGCCACCAGAGGGCTGTTTGCAGTTGCTACAGAAACGTGCCCACTTCGGTGTCCTACTGCATCTCTAACAGATGGTGGCAGGGCTTATTGTGAGCCAAGAAGAACGGTTGAGAGGACAGTCTTTGGGGTCAGACTTGGCCTTGAGTGCTAGCCTCAGTCAGCGGTGACCCGAGGAAGGGGAAGAATGAGCCCTCAGCAGCTATCAGAGAGAGTGACGGTCGGGTGGTGCCTGGCACGAGGTGGAGGGCTCAGTTGGTGACATCTCTTGCCGTCCGGTATTCCCTGCGCAGAAAGGAATTGGGGCTCTGTGTTTTATTTCCCTTAGACACTGACATTCATAGAGGCATGTAGAACCATGTACAGGTCTAAAGGAATGTAATGGTACCCTTTTATTTTACAGGGTTCCGAAATCAGAGATTTTGAGATTAAAAATGGCAGGAAAATCATCGCTTTTTAAAGTAATTCTCCTTGGAGATGGTGGAGTTGGGAAGAGTTCTCTAATGAACAGATATGTGACTAATAAGTTTGATGCCCAACTCTTCCATACAATAGGTGTGGAATTTTTAAATAAAGATTTGGAGGTGGATGGACATTTTGTTACCATGCAGATTTGGGACACCGCCGGTCAAGAGCGGTTCAGAAGCCTGAGGACGCCATTTTACAGAGGTTCTGACTGTTGCCTGCTTACTTTTAGCGTCGATGATTCTCAAAGCTTCCAGAATTTGAGTAACTGGAAGAAAGAATTCATATATTATGCGGATGTGAAAGAGCCCGAAAGCTTTCCTTTTGTGATTTTGGGTAACAAGGTTGACATCAGCGAGCGGCAGGTGTCTGCAGAAGAAGCTCAAGCCTGGTGCAGGGACAACGGCGACTATCCTTACTTTGAGACAAGTGCAAAAGATGCCACGAATGTTGCAGCGGCCTTTGAGGAAGCAGTTCGAAGAGTGCTTGCTACCGAGGATAGGTCAGATCACTTGATGCAGACAGACACGGTCAGTCTGCACCGAAAGCCCAAGCCCAGCTCATCTTGCTGTTGAAGTTCGAGAGGTTGCCCTTGCGATCTAACCAGGTCACACACATGCACAGATAAGCACAGGGTGGAGACGAGAATTCGTGTTTGCAGCAATGGATCATGTACTCATAAAATTAAACTAACCATATTGCTGCCTTGTTAGTGGGTGGGAGAAGGGACACATCCACTCACAGGAGAATCTCTTTACGCAGTAACGGCACCTTACCTTTATAAGTTGTAACGGTTGTCTAATAATGTTTAATTTAAATATGTATGTCACAGAGCTAATAAATGAGATGACCAAGACTTTATAATTAAAACAAAACACTTGAGTATTCTAGAAGTTACTGTTTTTTCCCCGGAAAAATGGAGAACTACTTTTTCTATGTGTATATTTTTATGTAATTAGCACTCTGTTCCTGGTTCAGGGAAAACATGTCCTAAAGCAATAATGTTAGATATTAAAGATTAAAATCCAGTGCATTTGCCATGTAGTCATGTGATTTGAGGATGTGTTCATTCGGTTTAGAATTATGTGCGTGTTCGCTTTTTCATTCTACGTATCAGGATTGATCTCACTTGTAATCACTTGTCGTTTGTGTGCCCCCCTCGACCCCCAACACAGAAGCCGGCTTTATCACTCTTGGAGGAGGTACTGCTTCTGGATTGTACTGTGTGTGCGGGTAAATGAAGACATCTTTATTTGGTCATGTATTTATTCTGTGTCCTCTACATCACTGAGCTTTGTTTAGTGATTTGGTCTCAAGGAGATTTTTCGTCATTCTGCTGCAATGAGCAGCCTTATTGATAGAGCAAGTTGTGGTCTTTCGTGGGTAAAGTGCACCCACTGCGCCATTCATGCCGATCCCATCCCGCAGAGGCACACCAATGCCAGGCGCACGTGTTAGAGAGGACAGGACCCTTGGCTGTGGAGCGGTGGGTTATCAAGCGACAAGCTTTTGGGGGGCTGTCCTGTGCGGGGGAGTACATTTCGGAACAGCTAGGTTGAGCGATTTCTCTCCCTGGCCCCGCTCCTTGGAACCACTTGACACAGAACGCCAATACAGTAAGCTCAGCTTTTGAAAATCTAATTTCCTGACACAACAGATTTGGCTCTAAGCAAAACATTTTCACATTTTAAATCTGGGGAAATTAAATCTCCTTATAGTCTCAGGTTAAAGAGAGCTGTAGTTTTTATTATTTATAATCAATTCCGCCCCGCCCCACCAAACTATAATCCTCCATTCAGAAAACAAAATAGGAATCCACCATTAAGAAACGAGTGTGTATTATATATTCCCTTTGTTTTTTTCTCTAGGGGACATGCTTTGTTATTTTAAATCATGTGTACTCATTGTTTTGTGACTTGCCCTTTTCTCTCAGTCTGTCTGGGTATATGTCCATTATATAGTAGACCTACCTCATATCTGCTGCATGGATGTCTAACAGTTTATTCAAACCGTTCTCTGCTGATAGCTAGCTAGCAGTAGTATATTAAAGTTTCCCACACCTTGCTCACCAATGGATATTAGGAGTACATTTATCATTTGAATAGATGATAGAGTCACACGGTTGAACATTATAAGGCACAAGGGACAGATACCTACCCTTGCCACCGAGTTCCTGCATGTGGAGGCAGCCGTGTGTCAGTTTCTTGGGTATCAGTCTAGATTTTTAGTACGTAAGGGAAGCATATTGTGTTAGTTCACTACTGCTGCCATAACATGCATACCCGGTGGTTTAAACAATAGGGATTTCTTTTCTCATAGTTCTGGAGGCTAGAGGTCCAAGATTAAGGTGTTGATAGGTTTAGTTTTTCCTGAGTCCTCTCTCCATGGTTTGCAGGGGATCTTTCCTCTGCACACACTCCACACACACACACACACACACACACCCCATCTCTCTGTGTCCAGATTTCCTCCTCTTATAAGAACACCAGTGAGACTGGATTAAGGGACCACCCTAATGGGCTCAATTGAACTCACATTAACTCCTTAAAGGGCCTGTCTCCAAATACAGTTACGTTCTGAGGGACTGGGGGCTAGGTCTGTTGATTATGAATCTTGGGTGGGGGGGACACAATTCAGCCCATTACACGTCTGTGTGTGTGTGTGTAGGTATTTACAAAATGTATAATTTTGATACTTGTATAGATTTAACTAGTACCTTAGTGGTTTTTCTAAACTTTGAAGCATCTTTTCAATAACCGCTTTTTCAGCTAAATACTCAGGGATTAGATTAGTTGGCATTCCAGAGGTCTACAGCTGGGCAGCGAAAAAGGATCAAAGGACCGAATCCTCGTGTGTGTAGACAGGCTGACGGAAGGGAGAGTAATGGAGCTTCACAGCGTGACTTAAAGGGACCCAGTGAACAGAGGCTGACCAAACCCAGTACTGAAATGGGACGAGAGGAGGAGGAACAGGACCTGACTGACTAGCTTCCTCCTTCACAGCAACGACAACTCGTTCACCTGACGGAGGAGCTCTTCAGACAGCAGCAGAAGGTAGCTGAAAATCTGAATCTTTTAAGAAAGTAACACGGGCTTTGCCTGGCTGGTGTTACTTACACAAAGATGAGAACTAGGGAAAAAGTGAGAGCTGGGGAGCAAAGCAGGCGACTGCGGTGGCGGCAAGAGGGGCGGAGCAGCTGCGGAGCCCAAGGGAGCAGGCGGGAGGGAAGGACTGCGGAGCGCGCTGTCCCGTTCAGGGCCGGGCCCCAGTGTTAGGGGCCAGCGGCTGCCGCCGTGATGACAGGTGCTTTCGTGCTGTCTGCGCATGTAAAGCCTTGGAGACAGAGTTCAGGGTTAAGAAAAAGGCAAACTACTGAACTTGGGAGGATGGACAGATGTACACTTGCCAGTCGATGTAGCAATTACAATGTGCCACGTGGAAGATGGAAAAGTGCACGTTCCTCAGTGAATTACTGCTTTTGTCACCTTCTTCCCCTTGGGGAAAACTCCCTAGTTGAAGTTAAAACATCCTAGATGGTCCTCATGTTAAAACCTGGCGTTTTACATTTCTATAAAACCTTGGGTAAGCTTTCACTTCAATAGCATGACCCTGTGACGCCAGTTCCATCCACAGTGCCAGGGGCTTGTGGGGCAAGGAAGCGTTAGGTAGAAAAGAGGATCTGTGTAGTCAGTGGATTCTGAGAAGTTACCACCGTGGACTGTCAACCAGGAAGTGCTGTCCTGACCATGAAGTGAAAGGACACAGGTGTAGCAGGGTGGAGGAGAGACCAAAGGTCTCTACATACGTGGACAACGTGGGCACCACCGAAGCATCCTAGGCAATGGAAGAGGACCAAACCCGATTTGTGCATTCTATTTGGATCACTTCGGGAGTGCTAACGTAGATTACAGGTTTAATGCTGACTTGCGTGTGCTCAGTGGAGCCTGATGCCCTGGGTGCTGCTGATGTCCCCCAGTTGGTCTTGTGTTCCAGAGCTTTAAGTGACGGTCATCTACTACCAGATACGAGTTTTGCCGGCTCTTTTGCCGTTTTTTTGTTGTTTTGTTTTTTGTGGTACGCGGGCCTCCCACTGTTGGGGCCTCTCCCGTTGCGGAGCACAGGCTCCGGACGCACAGGCCCAGTGGCCGTGGCTCACGGGCCCAGCCGCTCTGCGGCATGTGGGATCTTCCCGGACCGGGGCACGAACCCATGTCCCCTGCATTGGCAGGCGGACTCTCAACCACTGCGCCACCAGGGAAGCCCTTCTTTTGCTTTTTTAATGGTCAGCGCCTGTTTTTCCCCTTGTACCAGCCCTGGTTCCATCCTTTGAGCTGTCCTATCCGTGTGCCCACAGGCTTTCCCAGCACGGCCCTCCTTTGAGGTCCTACCCACTCCTACGCTCATCACTGAATCTGCCTTCATGCTCCTTCAGAGGCAGTCATACGTGAAATCTGACACTTAACTACACTGATCTACTCCCATGGGGCCTGTGTTATTCGTTCCCATCTCACCATCACAAGCCTGGTGCCAAGGCTGTTTGCAGGGCACTGCTGTTGTGTGGCTGAGCTGGGATCCAAACCATCTCCATGCTACAGCCTCCTGCTGAAGCACCACGCCGCTACTCCTCACTGGAGCATTGCCACCCTCTGCACTACATGCTCATTGAGGGCAGAGCAAACTGTATACAGTAAGTACATGTGTGGGTCTCTCCAATTAGCATGGCGGACATCACTCCTGGATTTCTAGCTGAGTATCTCTTTTCTGCTCCGGCACCTAAGTTTGAGGCGATTTGAATCCTGTAAAATGAGTTGCAATATATGTTAATATGCAGACTTTCATTAGGGGAAACAGGACTAAAATGGTAGTAGTAGTGGTGGGATGAGTAGCACTTAAAAAATTCAATATTGGGACTCCCCTGGCGGTCCAGTGGTTAGGGTTCGGCGTTTTCACTGCCCGGGCCCGTGTTTGATCCCTGGTCAGGGAACTAAGATCCTGCAAGCCGCGCAGGGTGGCCAAAAAAAAAAGAATAAAAAAAATCGATATTAAACTTCCACAATCTTGGACAAACATCTTTATTTAGGAAATCAAATAAATATGGTAAAAAATTATGCTAGCAACTTCACACAAAGATACAGGACCAAACTTAGAATTACTTGCTCAGGTTATTCAGAATGGAACAAAATTCTTCAGGTGCTCACCATTAGCACAGAAAATAACGCGGTTATATTACTTGCTTTTCAATGGACATTTACTGGTTTACTGTAAGATCCCACGCTCTTACAGTACAAAAGAGAGGCCACTCCTGCCCCCTCCGGTATACAGCCTAAGTGGCCAAGATGGCCAAGAGCGCAAGTGTTAAATGTGATGCAAGCTTTTCTTTGTTTACAATTCTAAAACTGCCTTACAACTGTTTACTAGTACAGCTATCAACAGGTTCACTTAATCTTTAGTTTACTGTCTGAGGGAAAGGAAACATAAGAACATAACCTGTCACTTTGGTCCTAGCCTCCCAGTTGACAAACATGGATCCAGGATTCAAGGATTACAGCAGGATCACTGTTCCCAGTCTCCGACAGGGGCAGACCTGTGGCACTTGGCACTGCAAAGCTGTCTGCTGTGGCTTCTTGGCTTCTTAGTGTACATATACTACTTCTGTGTATACTACCTATACCTTTTCATAACATCTCTAGATGTACAGATGAACCCATGTATGTGCTATCAACTTCATTCCCTACTGCAGAAGCTTTTGGGTTTAAATCTGCCTCTACCAAATCTTGACCATGACATTTGGTTCTGGACTGTTACAACAAGATCAAGCTATCTGAATGAGGAAAGTCAAAGCTTATTCTCAATTTTTAAAATAAAAATACTTCAAGCTTACTGATGAAGAGCTCTTCATAAATAACACTGTTCACAAGCAAATAACAATCTGTTGATAATCATAAGAAAATATGCTATTTTTAAATATAAAAGCAATTTCATTAGGTTTAGATAAATTGAGACTACAACTAAAATTTTTCCATGCTGTTTAATCAAGT